ATACCCAAACCAAATATCCTGCGTCCGCCATTGCTCATTCCCTCACTTCATTTTTCTAGGGGCACTGTACTAAGTATTGCATCCGGGTTGCTGTGTAGTCTTATTTTCACGCCGTCTCTACATGTTCTTTATAAAACACAGGGCAGCAGTCAAGATCGTGAGTAGGTTTTATTTCTTCTTTTATTTCCTTTTGTTATATAAAAACTGAAAATATTCACATCAACCCGTAGTCATGTGCCTCATTATCGCTAAAATGTTCCAGCTGAAATATATACAGACGTCCCTCAAAGATAGTCCAGGCGCGGTGGAGTAAGGGGGCTGGGGGAGGGGGGGGTTTTATGATGAGTTAGTTGTATTTTACGTCCGCTTCCACCGAGGTGATATCGCAGACAAAGGGGGGGGGGGCTTTAGCCGCAAGTACTCTTTTATCTAGTGACGCAACTGGACGTGGCCTGATTTTAACATATAAGAGCCCCCCCCCCCCCCAATTGCGAGGGTCGCGATAAGTTCACAGAGCAGTCGATCTTAAATATTTCATTCCATCTGACATCCGTTGTATCTATGACATATTGGGTAATTAAATCACGACGGGATAAAAAAAATTTCTCACATACTATAGCAGGGGCTATAGCTCTAGAATGTAAGGTCTGATGCGTGCCAAGGGAAACTCATCCAAGAACTTTTGATCCTTAACATATTGTTTAATTTTCATCTCATAAATCGGACAAAAATTGTCGCCTCTGGAAGGTTCACAAACGTCATTCATATTTCACATATTCCGTGAAAGGCAGGGGCATAACTCCAAAACGGATGCGCACCAAACTTGAACGCATCAATGGACTAGTGATACTTACTTTAACACTTGTTTTAAGTTTCATCGAAACCAGACATCTAGAGGATCCACTACCCTTGTATTACGGGAAGTTTCGGTCCGATTTTTTTAGGAAATTCGGACTCAACCATAAGTGGATATATTTGGACGGTTTTTACAATCATTAAACATTGTGACCTCTAGAGGGCCCACGCGCTAAAAATGTGATTTTTCGTACACTCAGGGGCCATAATCTAAGAAGTTACAGTCTAATGGGCCAATATCGACAGGAATCGAGATCTTTGGGTTATGAACATACATTGTAAGTTTCATCAAAATCTGATAAAAATTGTGACATCTAAAGTGTCCACAACCTTGGTATTATTATGCATATATTTGTCCAGTTCAGCATCACAGGCAAGCACCATCGACTGCAGTGCTTTCATGGTAAGGGATTTTAAAAAAAAAAGAATTAAAACTTCACTTCATTGCTGAGCATTTTCTGCTTATGGTACGCAGAGATAAGCAATTTGATTGATCGATGCTTTGTGTCACGATAACTAAGTTCGGTAATGAGCATTTTCTGCTCAGGGTAAGCAGAGCGATAAGCAATTTGATTGGTCGATACTTTGGAACACGATAACTCTCCTTCTAATTGCGGTAGAATGTTCAAACTTTGTGTAGGTGTTTATTAGGTCAATGCCTATATGGTGTTCGAAGATGAACTTTTTCTGCGTAGGGTAAGCAGAGATAAACAATTTGATTGGTTGATGCTTTGTGACACGATATCTTTAGTTCTAATTAAGTGAGAGTGATGAATTTGGTGTATAGTTTTATTACATCAATACCTTGATTAATTCTCTGCTCACGGTAAGCAGAGCGATAAGCAATTTGATTGGTCGAAACTTTGGAACACAATAACTCTCATTCTAATTGAGCTAGAATGTTCACACTTGTCATAGGCGTTTATTAGGTCAATGCCTTGATTAAATTCGAAGGTGAGAATTTTCTGCTTCGGGTAAGCAGCGATAAGCAATTTGATTGGTTGATGCTTTAGGACACGATAACTTTAGTTCTAATTTAGTGAGAGCGAGGGCACTTGGTGTATCGTTTTATCACATCAATACCTTGACAAAGTTCGATAATGAGCACTTTCTGCTCAGGGTAAGCAGAGCAATAAGCAATTTGATTGGCCGAGACTTTGGAACACATTAAAATACTCTCCTTCTAATTGAGGTGGAATGTTCAAAGTTGGTTTATGCGTTCGATTAGATGAATGCCTTGATCTAGTTCGATGATAAACATTGTCTAATTGGCTGATGCTTTGGGGCACGATAACTTTGGTTATAATTACGTGAGAGTGATGAAACTCCGAGTATAGATTCATTATATCATTACCTTGACTAAGTTCGATGATGAGAATTTTCTGCTTACGCTAAGGAGAGATCGGCAATTTGATTGGTCAAGACTTTTAAACATAGCAACTCTGCTTTAAATTGAGGTAGATGTTCATTAGGCGAATGTCTTGACTGAGTTCAAGGATTAACATTTTGAGCTAAAGCTAAGCAGAGCTAAGCAATTTCATTGGTCAATGTTTTAGGATAAGATAACTTTGATTTTATCTGATAGAGAGTGATGAAACTTAATGTATAGTTGATAATCAGTTTGATTGCTGGATACTTTTGAAAAAAATAAATGTACGATAAATTAAAATGTATAATCTGTTTATTTGGGGATTTCGCCGCGGGCATCAGCCTCACTGTTGGCTTGTTTTTTTATTTAAATGGCTGATTACCAGTCTAGAGTAAGATTGTTACAAGTTTTGTTATTTGATCATCTCCAGAAATAATATCAGATTAATGGCATAGTCAGTATTATTTTTGTGGGTATATAATGTTACATACTATTATATATTTTATTATTGATTAATTAAGTATACCAGAGAAGCCTTCATGAGTAATAAAACTCCACGTAATTGCAGATCTAACAAAAATGACATGTGGGCTAAAGTTGCCATATCAACTTACTAAATAGAAAAATCCCAAGAACAACGCAAAAGTCATGACAGGGGTTAGTGCCATAACTGTAACCCCTGTACGAAATGGGGAGGTGTGGTGGTTCAGTTAGGAAAACGCTATCTCACTAACCTCGGTGTTGGCCGAGAAACGTTCCTCGACGTTTTCCGGTGTGGTTTCCCTTTGTCTGTTGTATAGGACGGAGTCTGGCAAGGAACAGTAAGATTAGACAGTAGCGCCGCTGTCCGGGCAAAATTTTCCTCAAAGCACATTCCTTATCCGCAAGAAAAGCCGAAAAGTAGGACGTTAAACCCCATTTCATTTCATTCATATCATTTGTAAGATAGGCTATGTTGTTCTCGGTGATTAATGTATGTTTCTTAGGTATAATCCCCAGTCAATGAAAACCTATCCTTTTTTAACATTTCAGCGCTAGACTATATATTTAATACTTTCTGTGGTATATATTTAGCATCAACTGCATATTTTATAATATATTGTGCTGTGATGAGGAACAGACCTCGAGTGTATCAAAAAGCTATTTTACCTGGTATTGTTTCAGGTAGGTCATACATCAGCTGCGCTCTCTGACCCATAAAGAATTCTAGCATGGACATTATATAGTGTAAGAGGTGGTTTTGTGGTCAGTCGAGCACCCATTCCTCCATAGGCATCTCAAATATGGTGTGCCAATTCAGAGAATAAAATTATGGACCGGGCGATATCTTGAACAATAGGTTAATTTACTCATGTTATGAACCGACGGACGGACATGGGCAATAACAAGCGAGGCCATTCACATATATTCACAAATATTTAGTATTTTATTGTATGGATAGTTATTATAATGTAAATACGGATATCCTATAAACAACCTCACAGACTGGGCTGGTTTGTACGAATTATTATAACTTTATTTGACTACCTCACATAAAAATATTTGTGTGATATCAGGGGACAGCATTGTAATTTTAAATGACTATAACTTTAATTAGACTTGGATAATTTGGATAATTTTTGGACCTGATATTTGTATATTTGTATGGTGTATATTCTGGGTCATCTTATTGTACGTTAATACGGTCACGTGTTAAAGGTTACGGAGTGGTTATGTTCATAAAAATGGCGACTGACAATTGACTGATGATTCGGCGTCTTCATTTTCTAATTAAAGTCGAAAAGATTTGAGTTTTGGGTAGTATATTTTGACTATTAAATAATAAATAAAATATAAACAAATGCTGGAGTTCTCCTTGTATTATAACAGGGGTAATGTGGTCCATCGCAACTGTCTGCTGGTTTGTAGCAAATGGAGCTTTAAAGTCACAAGCGGTCACCTACCCTATCGAAACTACTTGTCAAATTCTTTCCTCCACACTGTGGGGTGTGTTGGTGTTCAAGGAAATCAAGGTAAAAGAAAAATAAAAGCAGTTTTGAGGTAATGCGTCTGGTTTAAAACCCTTTATACACTTGGCTCGTTGCATATGGCATTGGCCCACTAACCAGAATGTCCCGAGTACGAACCGAATTTGACCGAGCAGGTTCTTCGGAATTTTCTAGTCTGGCATTGAAAAGCGTCTTATGTTCAGGTGGCACGAAAAACTGGGTTCCCGTGCATACAATAGCCAACCCGTTAAAGACAGTTGAAAATCGAAATAAGAATATATACACAAAATTTCCCACATAGCATGCCCTGCATGGCGTACATGTATTCCCGGTTGGTGAAGACACGTAAGCCGTTCATACCCAATCTCACTAAATCATTTCACTGCAATGGGCTTGTGACCATAGAATTTATTTTATTTATCGATTTCTTTGTTTGCAGGGGAAAAGAAATTATTTCGTTCTACTCCTAGGTGGTACAGCTTCCGTAGCAGGGGCGGTATTATCTGGTTTGTCGCTGTCGACGGAATGAAGTACAAGCTTTAAGAGCGATGGCCAGGGGGATCCACTCGGCCCAATAAATTCGAATGCGTTAAACACATCTCAACTGTGACATTTATCTATGGAAGTAAAGTTTTGAATGGGCACAAATTATCATTCCACAAAACAAAAAACAATGAAACCGTTCATTCCGTTTTTGACCCAAATCAAGGAGGGGGTGGGGTGGGTGTACTTATATGTAACAAGGAAGTGTAAATAAATCTCAATATATGTGATAATAATAGACAAACTAGATTTTCATGAAGCTTTATTTTTAATATTATTTTACATGTTGTTAATGGTAATCAACTAAATAGCAATTACAACTAAAATATATCGACAGTTATGTGACGAAATGATTTCTATGGCAGTAGAGACTGGAACGGGTGGTACAAACATAATGATTTCTTGTGCCAAAACTGCAGGAATAAAATCTGAGAAAAAAAAGCCATTACTCTTGGAACACTGACAATAAACTGGACAATCTGTTGTAAGAGGCTTACTTCACACTCACTCCTAGAATTGGTGTTACAATAGCGGCGTAACATAGATATCATCACTACCCGTGGCATAAAACAACATAATATCAAAGGGTAACTGGACGATCGCGATATAATGTTTTTGACGTCAAATAAAGAACGGCGCAAACAGACACCAAACGCGCAGTACACACAGATTTTGTGGACCGTTTTAAGCCATGGGTAGTGAGCATGTCCAGTTAATTTTGGGCTAATGTGGCCCTTTGGCGGATTTTAAAATCGATCTATGTATTTTCTATGGAAAAGTTAACTACGCACATAACAAAACTTCAAGAAGTTAATAACATTAAGGTCTAACTTAAAATATATAATAATATGTATTTATATATATATATATATATATATATATATAACAACGGTAGATAAAATATGCATAACAAAATCTAAAAATTGGTGCTTTTCTACACCCTACTACAATTAACATCTCAAGTAATCCACTCTTTAAGGTGTGTTCGAATGATGAATCCAGATTTTTCATTCAAGAATAGCCTGCTTGTAGTTGAACAATCTGTTTCACAGAGTATTACGAAAGTTTTCTAATATATCTGTAAAAGATGACTGCCTTCAACACATGACGTCACATCACGCGACGTCAATCATTGGCTCAATAGCGCTTGCATTGTTTACATAAGACATTACTGATTCTAGCAGAATGGTCCCTTTTACTCGTTTTAATACCCATTTACACTAAAATAGGAAATAATTTTTACCTACAAATACTTCAAAAATCTTTATTTTTTTTTCTAATACATAAAAAAAAATGTTTTAGAATTTAATTTGTCGGGGGAAAAAGTTAATATTTGTGGTTCATTAAGTCGCATCGATGTTGCGGCCTAGAGAATATTCACTGCTGATCAGTGTGGTAGTTGAAACGAATCGGGGCCAATTCGAATCCTGGTTTGTATTTCTTTGTTTTTTGCTAATTTTATTGATGCATGAAGTCAGAATTGGAATCGAAGATGAAAATATGAATACGTGAACAAATACTCCAAAATGAAATTTTTAAATTTATTGCAACATGGGTTGACTTAAGCTAATTGGAATCATACGTGTAAATTCGGTTTAAATTCTACATCAAATTTGAAATTTAGCGCCTGATTAATTGCCCTACTGTGATTTGGCTGAATTGTTCCAAATCGTATGCCTGGTATCGACCAATCCTAATTGAGAAATTAAGTTAGCCCTAAAGGTGCTCTAAATTTAATTTAACCAATCAGTTTTTATTTCTAGTGTGTTGCAAAGCAGTAATAAAACTGTTCAATTTTAGGCTGACAACTGTTGGTGCTACGAATACGAAATAAGAGGTTGATTTTGCTGGTCATTCAAACACTCCTTTATTGTCACTCATATTGTGCATCGCAACAAAATGGGAATAGGCGAGTTTGTTGAATCAAGAGTTTCTGGTTAGCTATCACTCACTGTTAAAATTATATATATATATATATATATTTTACAGTTATAAGTATAACAAAAATACATATCGGTTCAATTCAAGTCCTGGGTTAAGGTGGTGTAGTATTTAACACCAGTTAGATCACTGAGTCAATTCAAGTCCCGGGTTACACTTGTGTTAAGGATGTGTTGTAGTGGTGTATAACTGGTGTTCTTTTTAGTGCCTTAACCTGAGCCTCTCGATTTAGCACTAGTGTTTACACCAGTGTCTAAACTAGTTTAATACCAGTGTTAACACTGGTGGAAAATAAAAAAAACCTATAAGACTAGTGTTATTTTTAAATGTTACACTTACGCATTAAATTCTTTGCATGGGCTGGCCAACTAAAAAAAAACACCAAAAGAAAGGTAATTGGGGAAAACTAACCGCTTCCAGGAAGTTAAGTAACTAGGATCTATGTTGAATTTTTGTAGTCCCATTTGACCATTATTCAGTCGAAATTTCCTAAAATTTCTCGTAAATTAGCAGGTCTGCGATCAACATTTATGTGTCTTACGTTTTGGCCATATATAGATAAAAACCTTAAAAGAAATTCCCTTCTTGCCATCTGCTGTTATTTTAAAAATAACTCTAACACTAACCCCTAGGTTAAGTCATTTATGACAACGCTGGTATCAAACAGCAGACGGCTAAAAGGGAATTTCTTGTAAGGCTTTTAGATTTAGTTTTATGGCTAAAAATTATTTTTTTACCCATATATGGTCAAAAAGTAAGACAAATAAATGTTGATCGCAGACCTGTTGAATTATGCGAAATTTCAGATAGGAAATTTCAACTGAATACTGATTGAATTAGACAACAAAAATACAACATAGATCCTAGTTACTTAACTTTTTTTTTATATATAACACTAGTGCTATAGGTTATTTTTTTATTTTTATATTCCATCGGTGTGAACACTTGTATTAAACTAGTTTAAACACTGGTGTAACACTAGTGCTAAATCTAGGGGCTCAAGTTAAGGCACTAAAAAGAACACCAGTTATACACCACTACAACACAACTTGAATTGACCCAATGTGTATTGTTGGACATTTTGCTTGGGCAGTTTCATCCCACCTACCCTTTCCATTATCTAATGTTGTTTTATATGCTCGACTGAAAGGTCCCAAAAACTTTCTGTGTTCGCCAGGATCGAGCTAGGACTAATTAGCCAAGTGGGGAAAGTCATTCCCCTTAATAATTTTACCTCGTCAAATTACATAACATTTACATCTACACTAGAATAGTAAATTTACTTGCAGAAATATTGCAATTTGTCACGAGATATAATTAGAAAAACTCTTATCAAATTACACAGCATGGTTTGTTTGGGTTTTTTTTTACAATGTTTTCTTAAATTACCATTTATGTAAATTAATTTCGTGGTAATTATACATGTACTCCATTTACAGATATGCAAATTTACCTTGGATGTATAATAGATAAGGTAAAGTTACATTACAGACTGTGAAATAACATGCAATGTTAAAATACAGTGATAATGATGGCAACATTTCTGCCAGCTTAAAAGAGTAAAAATACATAATAATTCTAACAGTGTATAAGGCAAAATATTAAAATACTATATAACATGCTAAATAAATATTAATAATATAAAATATACATATAGAAAAATACTTCGGAAGACATAACATTCTTATTATTATTTTTTTTTTAAATATTCTACTTAATAAATCAAAACAACAGCTGCGAAAAATAGTCAGGACTACTTTCCACATAACCATAACAATATCAACTAGTATTACTTTTCTTAAAGGACTACTTTCCACATAACCATAACAATATTAACTAGTATTACTTTTCTTAAAGGACTACTTTCCACATAACCATAACAATATCAACTAGTATTACTTTTCTTAATTAATAACATGTGTTAATGTGCCTAACGGTTACCCTTTCCTTATAAATTATATTGCATATAACAAAATTTCGACAACAAACATGTAACAAAGCTTTCCCAATAACAAAGCTCCCACCTGCATTATATATAAATTATCTAAGAAAAGGCTAAATCTGAAATTAAGCTAAAAAAGCGAAAATGCACCTCTACTTGCACTGGCGTTATACATTACAGATCATTAATTTGTCATAGAATTCTTATCCGAATTTGTTTCAAATTGTTTTCATGATTCATTTGCACATGTATATTCATTAACAGTGGGCTTTAATGACAATTGTCGAAACCATTCCAACGAATATTCCACAAATTGCACAAAAATACAATGTCAGGCCCATCTTGCTTGACTAAGATTATTCTTACTTTTAGACAAAATTTTAAGATACAAATACAAATGCCCCTTATCAAAGCTTATTTTTATACAAAATTTTATGGTGAAAAATACAAATGTCCGCCTCTTATCTAAGTTTATTTTTATACAAAAGTTTAAGATAAAAATACAAATGCCCACCCCTTTATATCAAAGCTTATTTTTATATATACATGTATTTTTATACAAAATTTTAAGGTGCAAAAACATGTCCGCCCCGTATCTAAGCTTTTTTTATATAAAATTTCAAAGATGCATTATATAAGATTTCGATAAAGAGCTAATATGTCGGCTATAATAGTTTAATAACAGATGATGATTGATGAAAATTGAATATGTATTGAAAATTTCAGTCAAATTAATTCATTCCGATGGGCGAAGTTATGGCTATTTGAAGAATAGTGTAGTCTCGATTTTCATTGCTACCGTTGTTACGATAATAAACAACGTCTCGATTATCCATTTTTAAATTAAACTATTAAATGGAGACCGCCTGTCAGCCCGTTCAAAATACCAATCATCCGATGATCTATAGAGTTGATTATAGGCTTGTTTTGTGGATAAATGTCTAATTAAACATGCATTATGCAAGAGCAAAATCTGCTTATTACAAGTCTTTCTTTAGGCCTGAAATGTTATCTAAATTATCAATTAGACATTAATTAACTTATCCAGACCATAATAAACTCTCGATGTCAAGGCTAGCCTTCGATGTAGGCTGGATTAGATTCATATATGCCGCTAACGGCCAAAGATAATTAAATCAGAAAAAGTGGATAATCGAGACTGCTGTTTATATTAATGGTTTTAGTAATGATGACCGAGACTATGCAAAAATTTCACCCGCTTCTTTCTCGGCTCATAGTGGATCAATTTGACTGAAATTTTCAGCAAATTACCTTTACACTATCTAGTTGTTAACTATTATAGCGAGAACTGTCATCTCTATATCTTATCTCCCATAATGTATCTTTAATAATTTATAACATTTGGAACCAGAAGAAAGATAGGAAGAATTAGCTCTTAAGCTCTTACATAACGCGTCTTTAGGGTGAAAATAACCCACAGAACTATAATATATAAAAAAAATAATTTAATTAAAAATAAATGCGTATCAAAATCTAGTACATAGGTTTTATATGAGAAAACGGAATAGAAAACGAATCGACCCATTGTATAAATCTTGGAGACGCATTTTTGACCAGTCTCATTAGTGTCACGCAATCGTCTTCAGCCGAGTGGGATGCAATCGGCGTTTCATCAAAAATTCTTAAATATAATTTAGGTAAACTATATGATACCTTAGAAGGCGTTTCTTTGCGTGTGCTGTTTAAATTTTGCCCAGACGTAATTTTAATTTGTTGAACAAGACTAGAACTGTATCTGGAAGTCGAAGACGGCCCCGGTTCTCCCTCGACCACGCATTTAATGGAAGGATTAGGCACATTTTTATTTAACCTTACACTACATTTCTGGTTAGAAACAGACGATTTATTTTTGACCTTGTCAATGTTATTTTCGGTATTTTCCACGGCACATAAAAGGTCATCGTCTTCTAGACTGCTCTGGGGGAAACTTTCCGCATTTCCAGTATTTGTGTCGATATGTAAAGGTTCGTATAAATTGTGCGCAGGTGAATTGTGACTTTCTTTATTTGCACAAAGTCTCTTTGCGATCGAGTCTGGTGAGTCTTTATTCGATCTTTTTCCATTATTGCAAGAAACACCACTTTCGCTTTCCATTTGATTGTTGGATGAATCCATTTCAAAACTTAACTGCCTTTTGGTGTTTCCAAATACTGGAGCTGATCTTTCGTTTGAATCGTAACACATCGAGTTTGGCGCTGTGTGTTTGGGTTCTTGGATTTCGAAATTAAGCTGCCTTTTAGTATTGCCTAAGCTTATATCATCGTGTGATCTGGGCTGCGGAGCGATAATTTTACGAGGCACTGGGTTGATTACCGGCGGTTTATTCGGAGGTGTTCTTTCATTAGCAAATTTAAAATGTAGTGGATCGAGATTAATGTCAACTTCATCGTCGGGATTTCCAGGGGAACCGTTATTAGCTAGTGCGTGTTCCTCTTCTAGATGCGGTGGCGACATCTCTGCTATATTTTCACCGACATTATTTTTCTCTTCCTCATCCGGAGGCGTAGAATTAAACGATTCTACTGTTTCATCATTGTCATCATCATTCACATGATTGGGAATATTTTGATTTGTAATAATGTCGGCACTTAAATTACAATTTTCGTCAATTTGAATTTGTTCTTGATGACGGTTCGTGCGTTCATTAGATAAAACCGGATCAATGTGATCGCCATTTTGTCTTTGACTTGGACCGGGTCGACTATCGAAATCCATACAAACAACCGGATAATGCGTTTTAGGATTGATTTCTCTCTTCATTGTCAAATATGGTAAATGACTGTCTAGCGTGTCTGCACCGTCTAAATATCGAAAGGCCATCAAAGAATCGCAACATAGAACTTTTTCATTTAACTCCATTTCAATTTCCAGAAGTTGTGTTCTCAGCAGAGGAAAGTCATATCCGTAGCCATTATGAGCCAGTAAGCAAACTGGTTGTGGCAGACGGTCCAGGAATTGGTTGAATAGGTGAACTAAATGGTGGTCAAAAGGTGGCATTATATCTAGATGGTCATTGTACAAACCTGTTTAAAATTAAAAAAACAAAAGTTTAATATATGGTTAACCTTCAAATTTATCCCGATAGGCAAGAGGCTTCACTAATAATTGTACGTAACACCGGTGCGGTATGCTGGTAGCCCACAGGTCCATGACGAAAAACCGAGGTCCCGTGTATTGGAATGCGCGTAAAAAGATCCCTTGGCTTGGAATTCGATATAAGAGTAGGCGATAGTGCCGCTGCCCGGGCAAAATTTCCCTCAAAGCACACTGTATGGCGTATGCCCGTCTTCATTAGCCCAGTATAGGAGCAGAACAGTAGGACGTTAAACCCCATTTCATTTCATTTCCATGCCAATAGGTTTGTTTTGTAATTAAAGGGAGGCTACCTTTTTCTAAACAAAACTAGAGCTGCCTCCCTTGATCTGCATCTTGAAGTAAATCAAATCTAATTTAAGTCGCTTTGAAATCAAAAAATTACAAAATTAAAGAATATACCAAAGATTTTGTCGATCACAAAAAACCTACAAAAGGATGCCATGATTCATGCATGGTTACCATTGCTTTGGTCTTTTTGGTTTTGCCTAGGTTTATGGGGAAAAATCCCAAAACAAGTCAAGTTTGAAGTACGATACGATAACATTAACAATATCTAAACTACTAAGAAGATATTATTAGATGATGTTGCCTACGCATGGCATTCAGCCTAATTCGTAGGCTACTTTTATTACAAATAATAGTACTAAAGTCTATATCACAATCACTATCGGAAAAAGTCCAGGCACGCCTTTTGAGTCTTTACGTCCTAGATTACTAGATTAGATATCTACAAATACTTTATATAAAATAAAATCACCTGTTAACTCGCTAACTTTCGCCGATATTGGTTTCCTCGGATTAACACATAACTGCAGTTTGTTCAGAACTCGTGGATTCCCATCTGAAGACATCAATTCGCTCCTCTGCACGGCGATCAGACAAAGTTCAGTAATTTGAGGTTTATCTTGGGGAAGTCCCGTTGCTTCAAAATCCATGAAAACTAACGTCTGAACAGGTTGTAGTTTTTGCAAATCTGGCACCATTTCTTCATCCATTGCGTGTGTTTGCCTGTTAAGCGGTATCCCTGGTTTGCCTCAAACAAGTGGGAATGAATTTTCCTTCTTGATCGATGCGAATTCTACCATTTTCCAAAAATTATTTCTACAAGTTGAAATGAGTTTGACGATGAAATATGTACGCCATAACACGTTGACCTTAGATTTGTAAATATGTGACGTAAATAAAGTCTAATATTATACGCGTTGTGATTGGTCTACACATTATTTTGGCTGAATCTCCAGCCTGTCGGCTTCGCGGAATTTCCCACTCGAATCTATTTTCAAAATACAATTATATGTTTCCACGACCTGTAGGTAGTCATCTGTTTTCGCCAAGTCTAATTTCTGAGTTCATGCCTATTCTATTTCACAATTATTCATGCATTATTCATCAAATCGATTAATTTGTAATTCAGTCACGTGACAATATTAGTCATTCATTTTTGTACCACGTGGTCAGTGGTTTAAGTAATTGCTTTTACTCCCTTGAATATTAGAAGCCCTGTAAATATTTTGAGCCTCTCCTTTATTGCTTATCTACGTATAGTTCCAACATTTGAAGCCCAGGGAGTCAGTTTAAAGGATGCTAGCTTGAAAAAGATTTGTGGGGGAAAGTAATATTAGAAAAAGACGAAAGTTTATTCAATATAAGGGATACGTAGATAAATTGGAATAGCAAATATCTACGAAGGTCGTGTAATAAACTGTATCAGCATCCGAGGGATTCGAAGTATAGCACAAGAACTAACAAAAAAGGTGAGTTTGTTCTACTATGATTTCCGTCGCTTTTCAATTAAATCATCGTGCAGACTGAAACAGAAAATTCGATATATTCTCGAATAATGTCAAAATCTCCTCATTATACATTTAGACTGGGAATCCGGGGCAAAATGAGACTGCTAAATGGGCGCGGTACCCAGTCTACTCTGTCTGCACCGCTGTGGAATGTGGCTGATCACCGGTGAGATCGTCCAGGAATTCGCCATTTATTTGACACTTGTTAAAGGAATGCTTAGTTCAGACAGCTTTCTTATGGAACCTTCATATATTGGCGTCATATTGATTGAAATAAAAAGTGCCCACTAGACAAATCATCAGTAAAAAAATAAATAATTTGTTGTTGACCTACTTTTTAAATGATTAATTCAACCTCTCCCTACCTAGTTATCTCCCCTTTGTTATACCAAGACAGAGTTGGCATTGGTAAAAAAAAAACAGACCGTTTTAAACTAATTACTTTAGTGACGATGTCTGATAGAGGATGGCTCTCGTTGATACTTCCAGATGCTAAAGACATCTGATATGAAAATAAGCCCCCCCCCCCCCGTGTTCTAAGGATATTTTGGAATCCTTACGCCTTACGTCTATTTGAGTATTTCAATTTCATTGTGATGCTTTTTTGATCGCCAAGGCTGAAGGCAAAGAAATCAATTCTTGCCACATCCAAATTTATAATAATCAAACGCCATTTTCATGTAGAATTGTTAGATACAAAACCACAAACAAAATCTTCACAATTTCTATAACACTATTGAGATGTATTAATGCTAAAGGTGTAGGTTAATTTAGGTCTTGCTTTTGTTGGTGTAGGGGCCTACCGAATTCATTTCGTACTGTTGTAGAACTAACACCTCATAAATTTGTAATAAAAAATTGGTTGAAGGGACAAGTGTGCTGCAAGATTTGACGATATTTAGAAATAACGGACAGAGTGATGTTGTAATCTAATTCTAACATTACACTTACAGAATACATGTAGCCTACTCCTGCACCTACTGGGATACGGTAAACTTCAGCTTTATAGTAAAAAAGCTTTAGGGCTAAAGAATGCCAGTTAACTCGTCCACAAGCAAACTCGTCTACACGAAAAGTCTAGTTAAGTCATCCACAAATATCTAAATACATTGGTTGACTGGGTTGACTCGTCCACACATCCATGACGACTAAGTTTGTTACTGGCCCCCAAATTTCCCGCATGGTATCACAGGTGGCGAATGATAATTTAATGGTAAATTTGATAATCCCATAAATATACACGAATGTGAATTCAATTAGACAATTACCATATGCGGTTCCATGCCATATATACATGTAAGGCATTGCATACTACGGACGTAGTAACTTAAAGGTTAAATTTGGCCCGAAAATTGCACGGGCTTCATGGACATTGATAACAAAAACATGTGATGCCTTGTGGTGAGTGATTAAGCTGTCAATGTAATTGTAAAAGAAGATAAAGGATGTTAGACATCATAAACTAATCTTATCAGAAACATTTATCCATCCATGATTTATCCATATTGGAAGGCGCGGTGCAGCACATTTAATCTTCATTTTGAATTCCTCATGTCTATGGGGTCACGGTGGCTAAGTGGGTAAGACCCTGGCTCGCTAGCCTGGAGGTCGGGTGTTCGATCCCTGCATTGGCCGAGAAAGTTCATCCAGATTTTCCGGCCTGGTTCCCCCTTGTCAGTAATGCAGGACGGAGGTCCTGACAAGGACAGCTGTCTAGTCGTTCGGATGGGATGAAAAACCAAGATCCTGTGTACACATTGGAGTGCACGTAAAAGATCCCTTGACAGTTGGAATTCGATATAAGAGTAGGCCATAGTGCTGCTGTCCGGGCAAAATTTCCCTCGTAGCACACTGTATGGCATATGCCCCTCTTCATTAGCCCAGTTCGGAGCAGAACAGTAGGACGTTAAACCCCATTTCATTTTCATTATGTCCAAAATAACGCCAATCAACAAAAAAATACAGGTCTACTTTATTACTAAAACATCGCTGAACTCTACTCTAGGCGTCGTCGTCGGTCAATCAACCTTGTCAATTATTGGGTAAATAAAACAGCAACAACCGATGAGTAAATCTTATTTATTCCACCGTGTGTACGAGTCAACTAATAGTTGTGGACGACCTAACCATTAGGCTGACCTTAAAAATATCTTTGTTTCACCAAACCCGACCCACAATCGAGAAGAAGGGTCGGTAGGTCGGTTTTTCTTTTCAGATTTTTTTTTTAAGAGCTAATTTGACAGCTTGATAATTTTTCGGGTGCAAACATTCGTCTTCTTTTATTGGCAAACAAATCAATGACATCGGGATTTTTCTTGATGCACGACTCGCACACAAATTGCCACAAACTCACGTTTGAAACTCCCTCAACACGTTTTTAACGATCGTGCGGGTTGTGCCTTCATTTTTCTCGAAAACGGATATTGAAAATATCGTCGTCATGTTTAAAACGACGCCCCACAGACATAGAGGCAGAATCATTTCGTGGGAATGGACGTGCTTTCGTCTGCAACCATTTTGTTGAGAAGCGACACCTATGAGGCTTTCGTCTTGATCAACCAGTTTCAATAATGAATCAAACCATAGCCATAGTAAAGGGAAATAACTCTCGTGATATATTTCAGGTTAACACACAAAATAAAATAAAAAGATCGCGGAAAAGTGCAATAAAATAATTTAAGTCGGGGGTGGTTTTAGTTAGTCGGTCGCGTTAGGCGAAACAAAGATATTTTTAAGGTCAGCCTTAGTTGTGGACGACATTACTAATATGGCTTGTGGTTGACTTAACCAATGGTTGTGGACGACTTAACAGTGGGCGAGTTTGCTTGTGGACGACTTAACTGGCACCCAATATAAATAGGGGCCTACCTGGTATATAGCAATTTGGTTGAAAATAGTTTTTCGATACAGTTAATTGTGGGTTTTGCTGTTCAGATGTTCTGAGTCATTATTCAAATGAATGTTCCAGAGTGAAAAATTACAACACAGTTTGATTACATTTGATAATATTTGGATTTATTTCGCTGCATTTTCAGACTTCTAGAAAATGTGAATATTTCTGAGTAACACTTAACCCTGTTATTTATTGCCCACACATACAATTGACCTTAATATTAAACACTTATCTCTTTTTCGTTTCCTCATTTTCATTATCATTTTAAGAGTGAGGCTGAGGCAGCATGTCTATCGCATAAATTCAACACATAAATTTGGGTAAAATTTGAAATGTTAGGTTGAAATTTTTTATTTTGTATGTATATACATGTACATGCTTTCTTGCTTTGCAGAATTTTCTTATACTTACATGTACATTGAAAAAATTTACTGTTAAGTCCATAGAAAAGATTTGTTTTCATAATCTATTTTTTTAACTCTTGACTCTTTATCTAAATCTTACATACTACGGTATAAGGCATCTTTAATCCATATTTGAATAGTACATTGTATATGTGGCCTACTCTAATTTTTCATTTTCATAAGTCATGACTGATTGAAATGTTAAGATGCAGATTGAAAAGAAATACATGTACATGTGCCTTATATTTATTATGTATCTGTGTATATTTGCTGATTGTCAAAATTTTTCATTCCAAAATATTACTGTGTTATGTCAAATAACCATTATATGTTGTAAATATTTATTAATATAAAATAGGTAGACTTATTCAAAATCACTAATTCAAGAGTTTGTGCATCCTGCTCTAGGCACTTTGGTTTGATATGATCATAAAACCAGACATCCAGATAAACAGTAATATCCAGAACATCCTCTCTTTATGGAAGCCAAGTGATGATATTTAATATCTGTTAAACCCTCCTTGGATTCTCCATGGGAATCTATCTAAATGCTGATACAGACAGTTCATTATAGAACTTGGGTGAATTAATAGTCTAGTGTTATGGAGTAGATAGTTGGAATATTGCCAGTAATTTATCAGTTTGATTGTAAGCCTTTACTCTGGTATTTATGTAAGCCCACTCCATCAGATAAATAAAAAAAATACCTGTGTTAACGGTTACATGTACTTAACCACAATAAATAGGGTCGGTCAGTTGGAAAATCTGTTCTTTTCTTGGAATTTATGGGTTAAGTTTGGATAAAGTTAAGTGAACTGCTTTTTTTGTAATTTTATTGTTTATAAACTACATCGATACTTGCCATCGATAGCCTTTGTGATGTCATTTTAAATATGGTAAAGTGTTTATTGTCTATTTCCTAGTATTTCTAGCTTAATTACTGAGTAAGTTTCTATGAAACAATGTTGATTCAGACTGTTATAATACCAAAATTTCAGAGTCTGCAGAAAATCACACCAGAGGCCGATTTATAGGACTTGGGGAAATGAGAAAAAAAAAGTTTAGGTTGATCAAATTTGGGCTCAAAATAATAGGTTGGGTCGGGTAACCTTTTTGACCTTAGGTTGAAACAATAAGAAAGATATGCCTTTATTTTTTAAGTATGGAAGCACTTTATGGACACATGTACTGTAGTTGATTAAAAAATCTGCAATTCATGCATTACTGGATAAAGCATTTGTAATGTTGCATGATGGATGTTTTTGGTGTACATGTAACATAATACAGATATGTTTGAAATAAGAGTAGCTGCATGTTCAATAGAAGGCTTGATCTCGCCTTAACTACATACATCTTATCAATCCCCGCATATTTTAGCACTAATTTCGATTGGGTATAAGCCTAGCTTGTGATCCTATCAGATTCCTTCGTTAAAAATATGGTTACGATTATCAAGTCTCGCGCTTCTAGCTAAAATGTCTACATGTGACAATCGAGTTGCAAAGTTCAAGGTTCGATCAATGTCAAGGTTGCTGGAAATCATTGTTGATCAACAAAGGCTGTAAACTTGTCTATTTCTTTTTCTATGGAGGCCGCCATATTTGTTTACAGTGTGTTATGTGCCACGACCTCTGATTGGACAATGCTAATTAGTCACGTGTAAA